TTTTTATATATAATTGTTCTGAAAGCACAAAAATGAATGAAGATCAAATTTCAATGTCACAATATGTATCTGGAAAGTAGCAGCGCGCGTTGAAAATGAATGAAAATGCTCATTCATTGATTTGTAACATGGAAACGATATTAAGGAATATGTGGGCAAACCCACTTCTGAGGATAGTTTTATGTGCAAAATCCTAAAATAATCTCATAATATTAGAAGCAGTATTAAAATTGAAACAGAATTTGAAATGAGTCCCTGGTTTTGCCAGACGTTGGCTTGAAAGTATGGCGCGAGTGAAAGTTTGATACATTTAATACGTCGAAGAAATTGATGATTAGAAAATTATTTTTGAGCAATTTTAGTACTTTAAACTTAATAATATTGGTTTGAATGATGTATTTTTTCATAAGTAGATAAAATAGTAGAAGTGATTTAACGGAATTTCAGCAACCGAACAACAATTTAAATTTGACTTGATGACAATGTTTTTGCAACAAATTGCATCATATTTTTGTTCCAGGATACATTGGCGCATTAAACACTAATATACAAAATTTTGCTCAATTGCTTGGTTCGCTTGGCGAAATATGCAGCATCTCAACTTCAAATTTGCAGCCACATATAATTTTGGTCAACATAATAATATTATTAACATCACAACAAGTAATACGACATAAACTTGGTTCCCACAATCAACAACCACCACCATCCATTTCATATCGTTACTTACTCAGACTCACGATCCTCCGTCATCGTCACTTTTAGTAAATATCCTATATCTGTTTCCGAACAACACAAACATCACCATTTTTGCAACAAATATACATCAAAGAAACTCAAAGTCCGAATAAAATTCAGGCGAAGTGAAAAAGACACTTGACTGCGTCAGGGCTGCCTGCCTTGCGAGTCGTCTAGCCCACCGGAGATGGACGCGTACACTCATCTGCGCCTGTGTCGGCTCCAGATCCAGGGGAGAATTGCCGGGGAAAACGATGGGCCACTTTTGATGGAGCTTCGAATAAGCTTCGTACCACGAAAGAGAATAATTAAATACTTATGAAAAGGCTTATTTAATTTGAAGTTTATATTTAGCAAAAATCGTTTTGACTTGCACAGAACAGATAAATTTTCAAATTTAATTTGCTACTTTCTAAAGTTTTTGCTATATAATTACCAAGATGAATAAATCTAAATGATCTTTATATTTTGATCACAAGTTTCAACAACTATATCTTATATATAATATTCTTCTGTAATTTTATATATATATTCTTCTGTAATTTTATATATAAAATTCTTCTGTAATTTTATATATATATAAAATTCTTCTGTAATGGTGTATGTAAATATGCTCCTCCTAAATGATTATTGGGATTTTAATAAATATTTCTGAAGTTTGTTAAGGGATTTTTTTTAGGATGTATGAGATTATAAAAATATACTAACATTATAGAAATAAATGGAAAAAATTGCAAAATAGATATGTATTAGTTTTAGTGTATATAATATTCTAAACTTTGTAGCAATAACAAAATTTATTTATAACGGTATAATAATTAAATTATGACTATGGTGAAGTGTAAATAATGTATTGGCATGAGAGTATTGCAGAATATTTGCAGACATTAATCTAATAAAATTAGAACGAGACATAAAATATTATTATGCAACATTCCATATATAAAATGTATAGTGAAAAACTAATGTATGATAAGAATTGTATATTTTGATCACAAGTTTCATCAACTATATCTTATATATAACATTCTTCTGTAAGGATTTTGATAAATGTTTCTGAAGTTTGTTAAGGGATTTTTTTAGAATGTATGAGATTATAAAAATGTAATAACATTGTAGAAATAAATGGAAAAAACAACATGCCATTGTTTGGCATTAAATATATTTTGAGAACTTTCATCTGCCAAAAATGTCGATTTACTTCAAACTTGAATTTAGATTAGGCGAATCTGGACAAAATTAGTATATAACATCCATGTTCATGATTATGAATAAGAAAAATGTAATATCTACAATATTATTGCCGAAAACCAGCTGAGATGTGCCAGAAATTGAAACAATATAAGATAAAATATATGTTAGGCAGATGAAATTATATAATTTAGTTCAATAAATAAAACAATACGTCCAAAATTGCATATATATTATATTTTTAAACTTGTGTGTTGTATTTTGCTTTACTTTACTAAATTATTTAATTAGAAAAGAATATTTCTACTTATTGAAAAAATGATATAGAATTTTGTTTTAAGTAGCAATCAGAATACAATACAATTCTATGAGCTATTTGGCTTATATCATTCACTCATGCATAAATTATTGTGATAAATATTATAATATATTATAACTCCAATAAGTGAAATCATCAATACTGTTCATATTTGCAAAAATAAGGTAGTGCTAATGGTTTTGAATATTATCATTAGGCAGCTTTTTTTTCAGCCTTCTTAAATTTGGTGTCTCAAGAAGCTGAGTGACTTTAGAGTTTGAATGAAGTTTTAGTTTATGAAAATTTTTGACACTGTTGACTTTTTTAACTATTTATAAATTCATTAAACGACTATATGATTATATTTTTAACTGCTCAATTTGATTTCAAATTTATAATAATCCTTTCCTTAATCTAATTTTTATAATAATGAATTAATAACATAATATTAGTGATTTGGAATGACTACTACAGAATATGAATACTAGTAATATTTCTTCAAAAACAAAAGATATAACTACCAATTTGTTGCAATGATAAACTGGGCTTGCATAACTTTCAGGTCACGTTCTAAATATTTTTATATTTTACCCAAATAAGTTTAACATTGAAATAATGTTTTTGTGATTTTTTTTCCTTAATCTAATTTATTTAATTTGTATTATCAATAAAGTTTCAGATTTTCATTTAATAATGAATTGTATTATTATCATAAAATATATACACAAAATACCTAATCACTAACATTTCTTTTATGTAATATATTATTGAATAAATAAATTCTTTCAAACAAACAAACAAATTAAACAAGTATCAATTTTTGGAAGATTTGACCCATACAATTAAAATAATTATAAATATGAATCAAATTAATTGTATAACGTTAAACGACTAATACCTAGACTTTTTAACCTGAAACAAATTTGTCATAGGCTGAAGCGCAAACACAATAGGCCTCTGTGACTTCACAGTCATTAGTACCAAAATATTTGTTTAAAATAAACAGACTTTTGTTTTGTATTTGCATATATAGACTTAGACTTATAATCACATGTTCTCTGGTTATCTCAGAATTGGTAAATTACTCATTGGAGTGATTTTTCAACTATCAATATAGTAAAATTTATCACAATAATTTATATATGTGTTTGAAAGTCTGTGTGTATGTTTGTGAGTGAATAATGTAAGCCAATATTGTACTGTAGTCTGATTGCTGCAGAAAAAAAAATAAAAAAATAAAAAAAATAAATCAGTGACTTTTTGTTACCATATTTTTTTATGTAAAACTAAAATTCTGCACATACAAATTTAAATTGTATTATTACCACTACTCATGAATGTAGACTTTTGTGGATCCATTACAAAACGAAGTTTTTTTCAACAAAATTTAAGTTTTTTATAAACAGCTTTGTTATTTATTGATAAGGTCCGTATGCCATGACTGACTGAGGTGAAAAAGACTCGGAACCTGAGGTACCTCGTATTTATATGGTTCCAGATAACGGTACAATGTTAACGTCCAGGTATGAATTTTAATCAGGGCTGAATTTTGTTGCTGAAAAGTCGCACAGGATTAAACATGACCTTGATAAACTGAAATGATGAAATTAGATTTGAAGAAACAAAAAGTATTTTAGTTGATAATGAGCAAACATATCGTTTTATTTTAATTTTGTTAATTTACATATACTGTCGACTGATTTTGAAAATGATTAGTTTTTTTAACATCATAAATTTTTTACTCTTTTTAACAATTTGTAACAACATAACAAATATGATATTTTAACGATATAATTGTCATCGAGATAAAAACAATGAAAAAGTAAAATATAATTATGAATCGGATATTTTAATTTTTCTAAGATCAAATTCTGTTTTGGATAACACGAGTTTATTCACTAGTTACTTGCATCTTGGATTATACTATTAGTGAAATCAAAAATAATTTCTCATACAAATTGCATGTTTATGAATGAAGCAAATTGGTATAAACATAGATACAAAAATGTTTCTATTTTGAATCAGCTCGCAGTTAGATAGGTACCGCACTTTCAATAGTAAAAGCTTCAATTTTGTTATGGATTATTAGAATATAGTATTATTGGAATCATATGGCAGATAGTACTAAGTACTAACTATAAGTACAATCTAAATGTGTTAATTGGAACAAGATGTAAGTAGCATTATGCCTTATGGCAAGTTGCATTAGCTTCCTGATATGTATACATAATCTTTGATATGCATCTTTTGATTTGATTTGATATGCATCTTTAAAATAAAATGTTCAACTGCTTATTCCGAAATAATTATAATATCTGTAATTGTTTAACTTAAATTAATTTAATTTCCAAAACATATATTTTATTTAAGTGTGGACATAAACTGTAATCAGTATCTACATACGAAACATGGCACGCTCATATAATTCGACATGGATTCTGATTCGAATCGCTTAAGCGCGCTACGAGATACATACTGAATTTTGAAGGATTTTCATAGTTCAACTACTTACCTATAATTGGGTCTATAATATTTTAGTATGCTGTTTCAGGTTATGAAATCTATAATCATCAAAATAGTCAAAAATTTCAGCATTTAGTTACAAAGAAATGGCCTAGCCGATCTTTACCAAAACTTAATCAACGCTATTCCTAACCATATCTTTCATTTTTTAGATTTTTAAAATCGGTTTAAGAATGTAGACTATAACACCAATGAAAAGTGTACACTTTCCTGCTAATTACAAAAAAAATAAAACAATTTCGTCGAAAATTTTATCATGAAATGGCCTGTCTGATCTTTACTAAAAACTAATCAACGCTATTCTCAACCACATCATTCAGTTTTAAGATTTTTAAAATCGGTTTAAGATTGTGGGCTATAACGTTGATGGATAGTTTTACACTTTTTTGATAATTACAGAAAAAACGGCTTGGCCAATCGTAGCACTAAGAAATATTAAATGTTTTCAAATAGATTATCATAAATAAATACTGTAACTGAGAAACGCTAGTTCTTATCAATTTACATAGAATAGCTTTAAAATTTTTGAAAATGGTCCAGCAATAAATTGAAAAAAACGTCGACAATAAATCAAAAATTGGATCACATATACACACGCACATACTTTTTAACTTCCCTTAGGATCAGTTATAGTAATCCCAAAAAAATCGAAAATGAAAATTTTTGCATATCTTTACGTTTTGAAGGTTTCTGCACATTTTGCCATACCTTAGAAAGAATGGATGTATATATATGTGTGTGTATGTGTGTGTGTGAGAGTGTGTGTGTATGTTTGGATATAATTTTTCGTCCACACTTTCGAGCACACGAATCCGATTTCATTGATTTAAAAAACATTCGATTCGTATTGATCAGGAGACGTGCTGATTAGTTTTTGGTGAAGACAGGTCTAGCCGTTCCGAAGATACGGGGCAAAAAGTGCCAAAAACGGTAACTCAGTTTTTAGGAGAACGGAGCGTCCGATTTTAATAATTCAAGAAACATTTTACTTGTATTGACTAGATGAAAAACTGAGTAAAGTTTTGGGAAGGCAGGTCCAGCGGTTTCAGAAGTCTAGTAAAGAGAGTAAAAAATGCGATTTGGCGGTAAAAAATGATCATTAGAC